ATCCCAGGACCCTGGGATCATGACCTGAGCCGAAGGCAGACGCTTAACGACTGAGCTACCCAGGCGCCCCTCATTAGGATTCTTGTAAAGATTAGTTGACATGACACATGTAAAGTGCTTAGTATAGAGACTGGCACCTGAGAAACATAAATGTTACTTATTTGACTGTTTATAAAAATTGGACACAATAGCAAGGAAGATATTGGACTTGTACTGTTACTGTATATGGGTAATATATGTTTGTTTTTTTTGCTTTTTAATTTTTTTACTAACATCTATTTGTTTATATTAGAGATCAGTCTTTTTTTTTTTTTTAAGATTTTATTTTTAAGTTATCTCTACACCCAATGTCAGGCTCAAACTTACAACCCTGAGATCAAGAGTTTCATGCTCCCCGAACTGAGCCAGTGAGGTCCCCCAATATTAGGAACTCTTTGTATTGTACAGTTATGTGGGTTTTGACAAATGTAAAGACAAACAAACAAAAAACAACCATTACAGTAGCCTATAGAATAACCTCACTATAAAAATCCCCTGTGCTCCACCTATTCATCCCTCCCTTCCTCTGCCTAGCAACCACTAATATTTTTACTGTTGATGTAGTTTTGCCTTTTCCAAAATGTCATATAGTTGACAAGGAGTCATACATTTCAGACTGGCTTCCTTCACTTAGCAATATGCAATTATGTTTCCTCTATGTCCTTTTGTGGCTTGATAGCTCATTTCTTTTTACTACTGAATAATATTCTACTGTATGGATATACCACATTTTGTTTATCCATTCACCTATTGAAGGAACATCTTGGTCATTTCCAGTTTTTGGCAATGATGTATAAAGTTACTATAAACATTTGTATGTAAATTTTTGTAGGATTTGGTAGTGTCAGTATTCTGGATTTTAGTCATTCTAATAGGTGTATAGTAGTATCTCACTGTTGTTTTAATTTGCAGATCCCTGATGACTATGATGTTAAGCACCTTTTCATTTGCTTATTTATCATCTGTATATCTCCTTTGGTGTGGTGTCTGTTCAGATACTTTGCCCATTTTTTATTGGGTTGTTTTCTAAGTTTTAAGAGTTCTTTGTATATTTTACCTACTAGTCCTTTATCAGGTATGTGTTTTGCAAATATTTCTCCCAGTCTGAGGCTTATCTTTTTTATTTTCTTAGTGTCTTGGGCAGAGCAGAAGTTTTAATTTTAATGAAATCCAACCTATCCAGTTTTTTCTTTAGTGGATTGTGCTTTAGGTATTATATCTAAAAACTCATTGCTTAATCTAAGTTCCAAAGATTTTCTCCTATGTTATATTCTAAGAGGGTTTTTTTTTTATTTTAAAGATTTTATTTTTAAGTAATCTCTACACCCAACGTGGGGCTCAAACTCACAACCCCCTGAGACCAAGAGTCACATGCTCTACCAACTGAGTCAGCCAGGTGCCCCTGTAGGAGTTTTATAATTTTACATTTTATATTTAGGTCTATGATCCATTTTGAGTTAATTTTTGTAAATGATGGAAGGTTTGTATCTAGATTTATCTTTTTGCATATGGGTTCTAGCACCATTTTTGAGAAGGCTATCCTTTCTCTATTGAATTGCCTTTGCTCTTTTGTTACACATCAGTTGACTGAATTTGTGTGGGTCTATTTCTGGGCTTATTATTATGTTCTCTTTTTCTGTTCTTTCTCTTCTTTTGGCAGAACCACACTGTCTTGATTACTGTAACTTATATACCAAGTACTGAAGTTAGGTAGTGTGAATTCTCCAACTTTGTTCTTCTTCAGTATTGTGTTGGCCTTTCTGCATTTCCATGTAAACTTTAAAATCAACACTTTAAGTCATGCCTGGGTGGCTCAGTTGATTAAGTGTCTGACTCTTTTGGCTCAGGTCATGATGTCAGGGTCGTGAGATTGAGCCCTGCGTCCAGCTCCATGCTCAGTGGGGAGTCTGCTTGAAATTACCTCTCTCCTTCTCCCTCTACCTGCCCCCCCCCAACATGTGTTCTCTCTCTCTCTCAAATAAATATATCTTTAAAAAAAAATCAAAACTTTAAAATTGTTGAGATCCCCAAAATAACTTGTTGGGAACTTTATTGGGATTACACTGAATCTATAGGTCAAGTTGGGAAGAATGGATATCTTAATACCGAACATGGAACATCTCTCCATTTACTTGGATTTTCTTTGCTATTTTACATCAGAGTTTTGTAGGCATATTTTAAAAACTACTTTGATAATTATATTTCAATTTATCATTATATTTCAATTATATAACTGGCTCCCTTTGTAATTTAT